CCGATTGGTCACCTTCACTGGCGGCGTCATAATGGGCCTTTCGCTTATAATTGCTTCTTTCTGCGACGGCGCCGTATGGAAACTTTTGATTACGCAAGGAATCGTTTTTGGCATGGGCGCCTCTCTGGTATTCATACCAGCCACCTCGATCCCTTCCCAGTGGTTTGTCAAGAACCGGCCCCTGGCCATCGGCATCGTCGTCGCTGGTGGCGGGATTGGCGGGCTATGGCTGACGCCTGCCACAGATCATCTGATCACCAGCATGAATACCGCCTGGGCTTTGCGCATCACTGGAATAATCATCATTGCCATCAATTCGGCGTGCAGCATCGTCGTGCGCAACAGATACAAAGTGCCTCCACGCGACAAGATTGTTGACCTCGCTGTCCTCAAGGACACTCGGTTCCTCTTCCTCTTCGCTGGCACAGTCTGCGGGACCACTGGCTACTTCACACCGTTCTTCTACATGCCCTCCTTCGCACACCAGGTGGCCCACACCTCTGTCTCATTCGGCACCAACCTCATCACCATCATCAACGCAGCATCCACGCTGGGACGCATTCTAACTGGCCAGGCTGCTATGCAACTCGGCAACATCAACACACTGCTCTCCTGCACCATTATAGCGGCTCTGAGCATCCTTGTCCTATGGCTTCCATTCCATAGTGCAGGCACGCTGGTTGCGTGTGCTGTAGTTTACGGCATGTTCTGTGGCGGCTTTATCAGCCTGACACCTGTCATATTGGCGGATATCTGGGGTGTGAGCCGTATATCGACTATAGTTGGGCTGCTGTATATTGCCAGCTCCGTGGGGACGATTGTTGGTGCACCATCGTCGGGTGCTATATTGGATAATATTGGACGTGGAGTGGACTTCAAACCCAACATTGCGTTTTCGGGCGCGTTTATGATGGGTGCCTTCTTGTTTTTCTGTGGAGTGCGAGTGGCTACAACCAGGCTGCTGCTGAGCAAGGTATAGGCAAGCGATTTATTTTATTTACTTCCAGAAATAGCAGCATCTTTAACCCATGCACTTTAGATACACAGCAATAATTACAGGCAACATTCAGTCAAGGGGCGCTTTATGCTTGCGGAAAAGTGTTTGGAGGTGCTTTGAGCACTGTACAACTGCTGCTATTGCATGAAATCAGCGTCAACGGAACTTGCGGTTTGTATTGCTATGCACGATGGAGAACACTCGGTGCGGCTATCGGACAAGCTGAGGAAATGCAAGATAGCGGATTGATCACTGACAAGACTGAGCGCAGCCCTAAGCTATACAGCGGAGAGCGATCTCTGGACTCTGTG